ATCATGGCATCATCAGTCATCATCATCACCATGACCATCATCATGGCATCATCAGTCATCATCATCACCACCTCTACCATCACGGTACTTCTGGCAGACTTTGTATAACAGTATATTCTAATATGGTATATTGAACTCTAACGTAACCAAGGTGCCTGCGTGTCTCATTAACTAATGTACAGTTTCAACCATGCACGTGAAGGAGACTCTTTTTTACAAATATATAAAAGACCTGCTGCTTACCAAAGATGGATTCCAAGTTCTTCTTCTGTCTGCAATCAAGATAAAAAAAACTCACTCCAATCGTCGTGGTTTCTAAGAACTTTCTTCAAGATTTGTTGAGATTGATTGATTTACTCCTTAATCAGTATACACTATACAACAGCTAACAATGGGTGCAATCATCACAATAGATCCTTTTACCGATAGGGCGGCCATCTTGGATTATGGCGTGATTACGTTTTCGATAAATTGAGATTTTGATGTTTTGAATATTGTTCCAACTATCAGCAAATTAAATTGCTTTTTAAATGCCCTTCTCGTTGAAAAGTGCAAATTTGTATAAAAAGGAATTCTTACAGCTGTGCAGTCTATAGATTTTCCAATAGTTGCCCACTCAGCATCCCATAATATCTTGATTTAAAAAACAATAGAACTCAAGATGGCCGCTGTGTCTATTGGATTCGATCTTCAGAGATACGAACTGACCACACCCACCCAGCCTTCAGCTATTATTATATTACCTGTGATAGCAAATATGTTATTCATGGTCATCAAAGCTTTCTCTCGTCCCATTTCCCGCGCGTTCGATTTGGTTGATGACGTAGACAGCTCGTGGAGATGCATACAGGGAACCCAACCAATACGGTCATTACATCTGTAAAATATACAGAATATCACACAGATGAGCACAGGAAACCCATCATCTAGTTTATCATCATCAATACTAACTTGACCAACCACCAGCCGTCCATCTTCTTCTGCTTGACTTGAACGAGTTTGCCGATTTCTAGTTGAATCTCGTCATCATATTCTGCATCGTACTTTCCCATGGCAATGTACATTTCTTCTGTTTCATTGGATGATAACGATGACATTAATAAGAATAATTTGAATGAATCTCAGTTAATGCAGTTTCATTCATATCAACTCTTTCCATTCTCAGAATGCACGACAAACAAAAAATTGCTTGCTGCTCTGCGAAAAATATGACGAAATATGGTGGGGGGTTGGT